GTCTCACTTACGTGTATGCTAAACCAAGGCATGGAAATTCCATTTCTAGGAGGGTTTTTGCTCACCTGGTGAGCAGAGGGTGCCGGGGAGATATTCCATCCTTCTGCGCCAACAAACACGCCCGACGGGAGCTATGCAGCTAGCCAAACTTGTGCTTGCAAAAGGCGTTCCAAGAAGACCCTACAGCTATCCTACCTGTTTTACAGCGAAGAAACACAAACGCATCATAAGGGCACTCAGTGCCCGCGCCTAAACTGGGCAGTAGATCATAAACTCGCTTCCTGTTTTGTAAGTCCAATTAACTTTCCGTCCACCAAACTTGTTACATTAGGCTTTTAAGCTTTATTCACTGTTTTTGTACGGCCCTTAAGTTTATTATTTTACAGGCATGATAATGAATAACCAAAAACGTGCGATTACCAACTTTGACATTTTCAATGTTCACATGAGAATCATCACAAAGTCTAGGGAATTAAAAAAGAATTTTCCAATTTCCACTCACCTCATAAGAGAAATCAAAGTAGGGCTGGAAGCTGCTCTGCGCCGAATCAAAATTCCCCGCAACTCACAATGAAAGAGTGATGGTTTCTGCGGCCTAGGTCCTCTCCAACTGGTTATCTCTCAGGTCTGTGGAAATGTGCTCCCGCGATCACCGCCGCTTACTCATGTTGCTTTCCTGTCTTCCTCACAATCCCCCACCAACTTGCTACCGGAGCCGATCGGGACTTAGTCCTCCGAGACTTGCGTACTTCGCTGTTTGGCTAACGTTGGATACATATAGAGTAGCGGAGCACACACGCATTGTAGCAAGAAGCTCGGCAGCGGGCGCTGGCACATGCACATATGCCTGAAGACACTATTTGCAGTACTTCCTGTGCGCTCTTTTGTCTCGGGAAAAGTTCATCCAACACAATTTGTCCTAACTGGCTTATGACTTGTGTTGACAGCCCTTGGAAACTCTCACATTTTTCCCCCCTCCTCCATCGACAGGTAGAGACATGTCCCGGCGCCAAAGATACTAAAATTTCATTGAAGAGTCGAAAAGCAGACCCCAAACAGGAAAGCGTGCGGCGGTAAATCAGCTTTGAAACCGAAAAATGGCCCAAAGAAGTGACCAATATCTGCATATGCCAAGTAAAAAACCCTGCCAAATATCGCTAAAATTCGCTTTGACTGCAACGACTGTTTGAATAATTGTTTAGCCATAATTAACAAACAAGTAGCTTCACTTGCGCGCCTTTGTGAATTCCCGTTTCTGATGCATACCGCCTTGAGAAAATACACAACTGCATTCATACAGAAGAAATCGATAAAAACCGGCAAGGTCACTGTACATGGCCAAGAGGCATTCGATA